TACTGCACCCGCGCAGTAACAGCAGTAACAGTTGGATAATAATCATAATATGGTTATATATAGCCCTTAATAGGACCCCTAATATCGACTGTTACTGGGTGGGGGCAGTACCCAACCCTAAACCCAAAACCCTAAACCCAAAACCCTAAACCGCAAAACCCCAAAACCCCAAAACCCAAAACCCTAAACCCTAAACCCTAAGCCCCAAACCCTAAACCCCAAACCCTAAACCCTAAACCCCAAACCCAAAAACCAAAACTCGAAACCCAAAACCCTAAACCTTAAACCTAAAGGTAGGGTATGCAACTCCCAGGCTTTGCCGGCACTGGGGCGTAGACAGCACAGAGTGCCTCGAGCGGAAGATTCTCAACTCCGACTTTGAAGAAATGTCCTGACAGACCTGTGCCCTACTGGGGTTTAGGGTTTAGGGGTTTAGAGAGTTTAGGGGTTTAGGGTTTAGGGGTTTAGGGTTTTGGGTTTAGGGTTTAGACAAGTTTCACGGAACATCTATCCATACTTATTTGGGGGGAGCTAAGGAGCTAGGGATAGTCTATATCAATTTAATAAGAGGAGCTAAAGAGCCCAGGAATCTCCAAAACCATAGGGGAGACACAGTAGCTACTTGCATCCAGGAACTATTTCCCTAAACCCTGAACTCGACATCAAGTCACAAAAAGGAGCCCTAAACCCTAAACCCTGTAAACACTACCTACATGTGAGATGTACCCTAAACCCTAAGCATTACAAGGAGCTGGGTCTCCCGCAGGATACGGTTTAGGGTTTAAGGTTTAGGGAGTTGAGGGAGGGTTTAAGGATTAGGGTTTAAGGTTTAGGGTTTAAGGGTCAGGGTCTAAGGGTTAGGGTTTAAGGTTTAGGGTTTAATGTTTAGGACTTAAGATTTAGGATTTAGGGTTTAAGATTTAGGATTGAAGGTCTAGGGTTAAGGGTTCATGAGAGTTTCCAAACCGAACCCGTACAACCTATGCCCGGTCACGGCCCGCTAAGCGCTTACAGGTTTCATATTAGATTATAACATGGGCTCAGGGTTTAGGGTTTATGCGGTTGAGGTTTATATGGTTCCGGGTTTACAGTACGTAGGGTTTAGGCCAATCAGTAGTAACAATCAGTAGTAACATGTGTTTCTCATATGGAGATTTCCAGTGTAGACCCCAAAATATCACAGTTCTTATCAAACGCACTCCCCAAGAGGGATCCTTAGTTTGGAAACCCCATGAACCTTTAGACACTTCCCGTTTCCATGGCAGGTTACACGTTCTTTTACATTTGTTTCTCCATTGCTTTGGGATTCAACCCTAAATCATCAAGTCGTAGCCCTAAAGCCGAATCCCGAAACCCTAATCTCGACAACCTAATCCCTGAAGCTTAAACCCCATGCCCTAAAATGTGCTTTCCGAACTACCTCAGGCAGTCGGAAAAAGGAGCGGAAAAAAAACAACTTAATCCCTAAATCCGTAAATCGTCCCAAAGAGGAACCCTACACAGGGTCGCTTGGTCTGATGTCTTGCGGCGGTGTGGAGGGATGTCCAGGGAGCTCGTACAGGACGGTCATGGTCAAACAAGGCCTGCATTAGGGGTATGCAGGGTTTAGAGTTTAGGGTTCAAGGTCCTCTTGACAGGGTTTGGCGGAGTTGCAACTACCAAATGGTTGTATACAGGGCGTGAGTAACAGTTTCAGGATTTAGGATTTCCACTCTAAAGCGAAAAAGGATGGCCTGGGCCCAACTCCACCGGAATTCAAGCTGTACAGGGCTGCGTGCAGTCAGACAGTTCAAGCTGGAGTTCTGGCCCACACTGCTTAGGGTTTAGGGTGTAGTTTATCTTAGGGTTTAGGGATTTCAAAAATCAGGGGCTCTTCTTTGAAGAGGGCTGTATGGGTTTTATAGGGATTTTTAAGGTTTAGGGTTTAGGAATTAGGGTTCGCCAAGGTTCAGGAATCTGGAGAAAAGAATTGTTGTTCATACCTAAGCCCGAGAGCCTAGGGGACCCCTGCTACCAAAATGGGAGTTTCTCAAAACAGTCCCTACACAATCCCCATCATCCCTTTCTATCCCCCGTATATTCCAAGGGCTTTCTAATTTAGAAGCTACAAAAGGGTTCCAGGTCAAGGGATGATTTTTTTGCTCCAAGGATAGGGGTGTGAGGGCTAAGGGTGTAGGGTTTAGGACTTGTAGTTGATAGTGGCTAAACCTTCCCGAGCCCATTATTGTAATTGTCATCTATCCCGTAAATCTGTAGTTAACATTTCATGTTACATGTCTTGTTTCATTCCCAACCCTAAGCCCTACACCCTAAACTCAAAACCCTAAACCCCGATCCCTAAATCCTAAACCCTAAAGTCTGTGGGATTCCAGCTGCATCGTTCCCACTCTCCTTCCGCGGAGAGGACGGATTTCAAACGGAGAAACTTCGTAGCAGCACAGGGCTGCCAAGTTGGAGGCACAGCAGTTTAGGTTTAGGATGTTTAGGGTGTAGGGTTTAGGGCTTAGTGTTTAGGCTAGGTAGTAAGGAAAGGGGATAACTCTAGACCCGGGATAGGAATTTAGGGTCTGGCCTCTCCCCAATCATGGAAGCCCAGATAGCCCGCCCTTTTACAAGGTAGGGTCCCTTTGGACCTTTCCTGCTAGTTTAGGGTTTAGGGAAGCTAGGATTTGAGGTTCACTAGTTCTGAAGACATACCCATATGGTAGGTTGTCATTTTAGATGCCCTGACTTACAAAAAAAGGAACACTGTTTTTAAACCCATTTTTCACAACCTCACTGCAACTCCGTGCTCAAGTCTTGAGAACCTGTAACAGGAGAGCCATCCACGGCACGGAAGGCTGGTCCCGCTCCCGCCTACTGCGATCGCACGACGCAGGAGGCTGTGTGCCCAGACACAAACAACACCGCTGCCTGCGAGCAAACCTTTCCAGGCGAATGGATCTATGGCCGCATCGACGGCCAAGATCCTCCCCGCGTATGCAAGGTGGGCCACAAATATGCCGAGTCCTCATACACGCCATGGCCTCTGCAAGCATTCCTTGCCCGCCTCACAGCTAAGGAAATCGAACGCCGCGGGGAAGGCAGTGAGTGGGACCTGCCGGTCCAGCTCAAGCGTCTTTTGAGGCCTGAGGTCCTGCCTTCAACTAGCATTGTGCAAGTGAGCCCGTACCCTGCGCAGGCTCCTGGGCTTCCAGCCGAGTGCCAAAGAGCACGAGGCCTGGAAGAAAGTCTGCTAATGGGACATTTATGTCCCACCTGCAGAGGCAGCGGTCCGAGGTTGAACCATAAGCATAAGATATAGAGATGGCTAATGAGAGCAAGCACTAAACCCCAAGGCCGAACAGAAAGTACTTGGAGTCAAGTATCCGTGACACGAGGACGGCTGCCTCTTAGTGCAACACATTACCCTATGTAGCATCATCATCATCATCAACATCATCAGCAGCAGATACAGTCAGCAACGAAGCAACGACAACAACAACAACAGCAGCAACTTGTCTTTTTCAAGCCTGGGTCAAGACGGCAGCACACTTGAAGTTTCTAATGCTGCCTGTGCTCCCCAAACATCATAACCCCACAGACAGAAAAAAAAAGTGCCGAGTCTTCAGTCCATTTCTGACGTGTATGCATGTCAGTGAATCAGGGCATGCTCAACTACCGCTTTCTGCATATGAGCCACACACCGCGTGATTTCGGCGATTCGACTGAATATAATCTCGGAAGTCTATAAGTTGGTAATGCGAATTTCTGCATATGAGTCACAATCTGCATGCTTGATTTCTAAGATTCCAGTGAATATGATCTTGACCAGTTTACAAATTTATAATGTATATGCGAGTGCATGATTGATATCCCTTTGACCTCGCGGCGCGCATCCGACATAATTGCCTATCCACGATAACGGAAAAGCACCGCTGCTATCCTTCTTCTTATCTGCTAGCGTAAGCGCCTCAAAGTTATGAAATTGTTCTGCCGATATCCGCAGCTCGCCCTAGCACTCGTGTGGCCGCTATCTTCAGTCCAGCATAAAACACTAAGGCAGCGCATTGCGACATGCGTCACGTACGCCTTGCCGTAGAACCTATCACACCGGAATCTTGTAGCAATGCTTCTGACTTATCGGCATCCTATCCGTATGGTGTTCAAGTTCTCGTTTCGCCTGCTCATGACAATTCTATATATTATTGATGGAGGAACTCCTGCCCCACTTACGGTCCCAAAGCCAGTGCAATTCTAAGTCTTGATTAAAGGGTTCAGGGTGGCGCAAGATTTCCTTGATCAACAGCGCCAAGCTCTAAACTCTAACGCCATTTGCCAAAGAGGGCTCTGAGATGTGCCTAGGACACGGATTTGTTCATGTCGCCCCAAGGCCACTAAGCTCAAGCACTACTATTTAGGGTGTAGGGTTGAGGGTAGCTTAGCACGCCAAAGTTCCAAAAGCGAAGCACTAAGCCCTAAAGCGCAATGATGTAGACCCGCGGTTCATAAACCCCCCTCCTTCTAAGGGCCTTAATATCAGGATCCCTATTATAATTCCCACTACGGGCAGGGGGTTGATTCATTGTGGGTCTACATTACTCTAAACCCCTTCGGGGACAATAGAACCCATTATAGTAGTTTCCATTTTACTTTCCATTATCCCTATATAGCCCTATATCATATAGTAGTTTCC